TCACGGACCGTGTATTTGTTATCGCGACCGCATTGTGGCTTCCGCGGCTGCACAATATTTGTGCGGTCCATGGTTCAGGTCTCCTAGCCCAGTCTTAGTTTTTGTTCTAGATTTTACTCCTTTATGAGTTGATTATGCCTCATTTGGCTCATTTTGATCAATTCCTGCAAGCAAGCATATTCCATTAGTTTTCGGGAATACCTTTACACATTTTAAGCCCAAAACGCAAGTAAAAGAGAGCAAATAATAGGTTAAAATCCCCATTTATCGGTGACTTTGACCCTGCTGATTGATATGTTTCCTTTTTATTTTCTTTCTTTTGTTGAGTTGTCGTGTTGTTCATGGCAATTCGGTAGCATTCCCGGGATGTACGTTGTTCTTCTCGTATGCTGAATAGTCTTCAAGGTGTTAGGAATTTGATCACTTGGTATAAATTTGAGGGGACAACTCTCATGGGGTGTATCCATTGTCGTCCCACGATGCCATTGTATGTGGTGTCTTTGTACATGATATGGAACATCGTCTCTAAAGTTACTCCGCTGGTGAGAACGAGGAGTGTGATTTATCCTGAAGTCCGTTCTACTAAATAGTTAAAACCGGTTAGTGTAATGCAACATGGTACTATCTTATCCTTGAGTCTCATATGTGCGAGGACTCGGGGATGGATGATGCATGCTCCACTTCTGTCATCTACCATAATTATCTTAACATCATTATCTAAAATTCTAAAGTAAGGACAAGTGCATCATTATGAGGGAAAGTCAAACCGTTGGCATCTGACTCATCAAAGACGATACTTTCCTCGAGGCCGTCATATCATTTGTGGGTGATCCATATTTTGAGCTTATGGGTGGTGGTGAATTTGATGCAGTTGATAAAGGCATCATTGCTGGCACCAATAATCATATTGATGGTATGAGTTGGTGATGGGGCTTTGGCGATCCAAGACGTTCTCGACCCCTTGCCAAGGTGTTCCTGCCGTTGTCGCTAAGCAGTTCTTTAAGATCTTCTTTGTTGCAGCAAGTTTGCCACCTCTAGCCTCAAGGCGATGCAATCTTCTGTTTTGTGTCCACGTTCTTGGTAGAACTCGTAAAGAGTGTCAAATTTCCTTGTGTTTGGGTCCAACCTCATCTTGGGCAGCCATTTGACTTTTATTCCAAGCTTCTCAAGAGCGTGGACCACTTATTTAGGCGATACACAAAAATTGTAAGCAGATAATTAGGAGGCATACCTCGATCGTTCTTGTGAGCGCTTGATCTTGGCCTAGACGGGCCATCTTCATAACGGAAGGTGGGAACATGTATCCTAACATAGAGTCGGTGTCGTTCCCTGCCCAGCTGTGACACTAGGTGGTCTCTCCTCATACTATATTTGCATTCTTTCCTGGGCTCAGATTGTACCGAGATGAGCCGTCGAGTTAGTTCATTAAGGTCGTCATCATCTGCTCTGACCTCGACATAGTAGGCATTATAGATTTCTTTCTAAGTGTCCGACGGATACTTCACCATCCGACTCAGAAGCTTTCTGGTCGCCCTCGAACCTTCTCTACTCAACCCATTTTGTAAAGCTGCCACGACCATCCTTTCGAAAACATTTGGTAAGGTCATCCTCACTTTGTTGAATTAGGAGAGGAAGTCCCTTAGTCCCTCTCCTAGGGATTGCTTGATTGTGAAGATGACATTTACTCATATTTCGGCTTTCTTGGCCCTAGAGTGTGCCGTCACGAACTTGTCGGCCATCTCTTCAAATGTTTCTATGGAACGGGCTAGTAACTGCGAATACCACGTCAACGCTTCTCCAGTGAGGTTTTTGCCAAATTTGTTTAGCAAGATGGAGGACACCTGCTCTTTGGTGAGGTAGTTGCCTTTCACAATGGTAACGTAGTAAGTCACACGACCTTCGGGGTTGGTCGTCCCGTCGTAGATTATGAGATATAGGGAAATATTGAAGGTTTTTAGTATGGCATGTCAGGTCGCTTCCTCAATGTACAGCTGTTCTACAATCCGGTCCGCGTCCCTTTTCGATAATAATTTAGGGGCACCTGATATTTTGTCTACCCGTTCTTGGTGCTCTTTCATTTGGTCTTTGAGCTCCTTGTTCTCGATCTCCATTTCCTCCATTCTCTTTAGTACGGCGGCGAGGACGCTGCCACCTGCATTGTTAGTAATAGTGTGAGTTTTACTTGGAATTAGGGGGTCTGGTTGGTCATCCTGTTCATTCCCGCATCACGCCACATGGATTCTCGTGGTTTCTGTAGTCGTGCATGGAGCTTGTTTACTGAGTACGCTGACTAGAGTATCAATTAGCCATGCTTCTAGGGGCATTTTCATAGTAGGCGATGCCCTTCCTCCTATGGACGTGGAGGCTCCTTTCCCATTTGGTTTTGTTGTGCTGCAGAAAGGGGCAGGCGACCTCTCTCGCCTGGGGGAGGCAATGGGTGTCATTTCTTTGCCCTGTGTGTCATAGCCTTTGTTGATGGCGTTCATGAGGTTAAGGGGAACGTTATTTGTTGCCCTCGTTCCGTTTCTTTGGTCAGCTGCCCTGGAAGCTTTTGTACACACAAAGAGAAGAGATAAACTTTGTGATTGGTTAGATTAACAAGTCACGTGAGTTATGGATTTAATGGAAACTAAAAGATTGGCTGAGAAAATCTTCGCAGACAACGCCATATTGTTTGACCCAAAATTTAGATCTAGGTTTAAACAATTAAATTTTCCAGTAGAATAGAGTTAATCTTAGACAATATTAATATCTAAAAGATTGTTTAGCTGATTTTGTAGTAAGATATTACGAGCACTATTTGAATTGCAATAAATAGTAATGATAAAGCAATATTTAATGGTCCAAGAACAACGAGAATAACATTAAATAATAGTGAATGATAATGGCATTTATGTAAATAAATGCAAGTAAGTCAACCGAGAAAGAGTGAGATTCTTTGATATTCCCTCTGAAAATGATAAATAATTGATGAGCCTTTGAATATTCGGATTCTCCTGGATCGTGGGAGAAAAATTAGATAAAGATTTGAAGAATAGGTCTATTTCGTATGTATATGGTAAAGCAAGAATCTTCAAAAATTATCAATATGTTATTTTTTATAATGAGTGTCCAAATTCCCTTCTATAGCTACATATCTTTCTATTTATAAAGGCACATGGGCCAAAAAACTCTAATAGTACATATCCGAAGAATAGTCACTAGAATATTCTCTTTGTAGTCTCATTTCTAAAATTAGTCGTTGTTGCTTTGCTAAGGGAGTACTCGTCCTCGTCTTTGACCTTCGTTGAGTCCTCGACCTCGATCGCCTTCGCCCTTCATTGAAATCAACTTGATGACACATAACGACCTTTGAAGTTCTTTCTTAATATCGATTAGGCTCATATATACTTATGACAATTTTTAGCCCATACAAATATATTTAATGGAATTTCTTCAAATGCTTAATTGAGGCACACGGTGGTTGTTCTAGTACTCTTTCTAGCTAGTCAAATGATAATATTACATTTGAAGATGATTGGACTATATGGACTAAGACCCAAGGCACTAACCAAAATAAAAAATATAACCATTGGTTAGCACTTGAGGTCCTAGAATTGGTGGTAAAAGTATATTCATTTAACTATTTTTCAAAGTATGATGTTCTAAAAAAATAATGTTTGGGAGAAAAAGTTGAGAAAATTACGATTTACAAATTTTGATTCTCACGAATCTTTGCCAAAATTCATTTTGATACTATACTTGAATATTCTACATGTATGTTGGTAAATGAATCCTATTTGCAGACTAATGCATCGACAATAAGTAATAATACGCCTGAAACAACTGAGTGATTCTTTTTCCCCCCCTTAACTTTTATGTCAATAACTTTCCTCTTGTGACAGATGTTCTAACAGATACTGATATATCATACAGCAATGTGGATGGTGCATCTGTGTTTTAACTTGAGCCAACATTTCGATAAGGTGCTTTTCACTTCTCGCATTAAATATACATCCAAATGTATTGACATTTTGATCTTTGTTAGACTACTCAGTTACATTAGCAGATGAGTTATAAAATTATTAGCACTGACTTGATACGGTTATGTAGAGACATCATTAATCATCACCAATATAGATATATATGTTGCCATTTAAATAAATCATCGCAATAGACATGTCTATGGTAAGGGTTATTCCCCTAATGCGACGGTTTATTCTACTAACTATCTCAATAGCCCTGATAGAATTATGCAACGATTATAACTGTTGCCGTAGATTATCTATTGCAACGCTTATATAACCTCTGTTAAATAACCGTTGCAATAGGTTTATTTTCTAGTAGTGAGTAAATATCTTGCCATAGCCTCGTCACTACCTCGTCGAAGTTAGGCTCGATACTTACTGAGTACATGAGGTTGGTTGTCCTGATACTAAACTTCTACACTTCTTGTGCAAATTCCGACATTGGTTCTAGTGGTGCTCATAAGGGTGATTATCTTGAATTTATCAGGAGATTTGAGGTAGTGTTGTATGCCGCTCGTAGACCCTGGAGTTCTCTTCCTACCTTTTATTACTATTTATTGTACCAGACAATATTGTACTTCATCTTAGACTTTGTATTTAGTACTCTTTGAGCTCATATACTTTGCAATACCAGTTTTGGGAGTTGTTTACGTTAGTTATAGTGGTTTTAGACTTATTATGTTATTTTCGTAGCTTTATTACTTTTATTGATAATATTCTGTTGTTAGATGTTCAATTCTGCTTTTCTTATTGCTGTTAAATATTAGCTTGTCTAGTAAGCGGTGTTAGGCGCTATACGATCCCTTGTTTGGAATTTTGGGATGTGACAAAATAGAACACATAGTAAGCTTAGGGCTACAATTTCTTTTCTTTCTCACCTTTTTTTTTAAAAAAAAAATTTATTTTAAATTTGGGGTAGGTCGTACGAAATATTTTTGAAACCTAAAAGGCAAAGGGATTTATTAGGAAATGGCGCCGTCCTCCAATGAGCAATGACCTCAACAAGGGGTACACCCACACAGTCCCCACATGATTCATGACACATTTACACGCTGCAAACCAAAAACAACGTTAGATTTAGCAATTATCAAGGAGAAAGCCACACGAGCAAGATTATAGATATAATAGTAATAATCTCCTTTCTATCTTCATTCCTCCATCATTCATGATTTCAAGAAAACTATCCATATTACCCCATCAATATCAAATCTACAACTTTTTCTCTTGTAATAATCGATTCTAAGAGAAAAATACAAACACCCTTTTCTTGTTTCTCCCTTGACCCTTTGTTATTTAGTTTGTTTTGAATTGTGGGTGTTTTTAGCTTGTTTTTAGTGTTTTCTTGAAACCCCATCAATATCAAATCTACAATTTTTTCTTCATTCTAAAAGAAAATACAAACACCCTTTTGCACCCTTTTCTTGTTTTTCCCTTTCCCTTTTGTTGTTTTTCTAGTGTTTGTGGAAACCCCAGGTCGAGAAAGAAACAAAGGAATGGCACAAAATAACGAGCAGCAGGTACAGGGGCAGGGATTAATAGAGGCAGGGGTTCTTGATGATATAATAAACAGATTATTGGAGTTTAGGAATGCAAGAACAGTGAGGCAGGTTCAGCTTTCAGAAGCTGAGATCCGTTCACTTTGTAGTGCTTCAAGGGAAATCTTCCTTCAGCAGCCTAATCTTCTTGAACTTGAAGCCCCCATCAAGATCTGTGGTAAACTCTTTCTTCCCACCTCTTTTTTCTTTCCATATGTATGGCAATGTTTATATAGACGATTCATATTTAGCGGTGGCAAAAATTTCTAGGTGATTTCGTCTTATTTGTCTAAGCCTTCATGGTGGATAGATTTATTTCGGTACCTGTGTTGGTGGGAGGTAACACGTACCAGGTGGAATAGTCAAGTTGCGTGCAGCGGGCCCAGACACTACCTTCGTCAAAAAAGAAAAAAATATTGCCGACCTGTGGAATTGAGGCGTGATTGGTTGAGTAGTGTATTGATTTGTGAACTTCTGATGCTTGTAGGTTTAAAGACGTTGTTTTGCTTTTTGAGATATTTGTTATATTCCCCCAAATATGACTAACTTTTATTTGCTGAATTTGGAAATTTTATCTGATAAAAAATTTGGGAAGTTTGGTGAGGTTACTCTTAATCTATAGAGCGTGTATCGTGTAGCACACCATGAAAAGTTGTTTGGTCTAAGTTTATATAACAATAACACCCTTACTTCATAAAAGAAGTTTATACAACAATAACAACTACTCATATGCCTCAATCTCATACTACTTGAGTCGGCTATATGGAGCTCAGTATCCATTCTGCATCACTTGGACCTGTTTTTGGCCTAATATCTAATAATACTAGAGGTTCGCTAACTTTTTTGAAAAAGAAAAACACCAGAGGTTCTCTAATTTTCTACTAAGGTACAATCTACTTGTGTCTTTTGTGTCTAGGTTAGCAAATAGTACTGGCATGTTCTATCTAGTCCTTTTAACTTGACCGTGCACGGGCTTGCTCACTCATTAACGTTTGAGTTAATTGCCTTATGTGCACTTGTGACGTGCGGGTAGTTGGTTTCATTTTTTTCCTTAATGTAAAATGTGGAGAATGTTGATATGTAGGGTGAGGACTGAGGAGTATAATATTACATGTGGTTTTGAATCATATTACCTTTGATATAGTGTATTGCCTTCTACTGATGGTTGTTTTCTGCATGCACGCTGCCCTAAAATGAACTTATGGTATGACACTTGTCATAATTCTTTCTATAAAAGGGTTATAAATCGCTGTAGTGGTTAGATGTGGAAAAGCAAGGAGATAATGAATTCTTTCGTTGTCATTGTAATTAGTCTTATCTATCTTTAAAGAGTGAAGCTTTAATAGTGTTTACATGATTCTTAATTTATGTGCCTTATATTGTCATTGCTAGCGTGCTTCCTTTGAAATATTGTATCATTATTAGTATCTTATTTCATGAAGTATGTTTATTTTATGATAGGTTGCTTTTCCCGATTAACAAAATTTTAGTTTCATTGTCTTATCCATGGGCTTTTTGGTTTAAAACTGTGTGTTTTATACTTTGGACTGATAAATCTGTCTCCTTTCCCCTCTCTTTGTTTTTTTGGCTCTGGATTCTAGGTGACATTCATGGCCAATATGGTGATCTTTTGAGGCTTTTTGAATACGGGGGTTTTCCTCCTGAGGCTAATTATTTGTTTTTAGGGGACTACGTCGACCGTGGCAAACAAAGTTTGGAAACAATATGCCTTCTACTTGCATACAAAATTAAATATCCTGAGAACTTCTTTCTCTTGAGAGGAAATCATGAATGTGCTTCTATTAATCGAATTTATGGATTCTATGATGAATGTAAGCGCCGATTCAACGTGAAGCTATGGAAATGCTTCACTGAATGTTTCAATTGTCTTCCCGTTGCTGCTCTCATAGATGAGAAAATACTGTGCATGCACGGTGGTCTTTCTCCAGACCTAACAAACTTAGATCAGATAAGAAATTTACCTCGTCCAACTGATGTTCCAGATTCTGGTTTGCTGTGTGATTTACTTTGGTCAGATCCTAGCCGAGAAGTTAAAGGTTGGGGAATGAATGATAGGGGAGTTTCATATACTTTTGGTCCTGATAAGGTCGCAGAATTCTTGATGCAACATGATATGGACCTTGTTTGTCGTGCCCACCAGGTATTTATACGATTCCTTTTTGTTCTTCCGTTATGTTTTTCAGTATTGATTTGACCAGAATATTTTAAACCTAGGTTGTTGAAGATGGTTATGAATTTTTTGCGGAAAGGCAGCTAGTGACGATATTTTCGGCCCCAAACTACTGTGGTGAATTTGATAATGCTGGTGCAATGATGAGTGTTGATGAAAGTTTAATGTGCTCGTTCCAGATACTGAAGCCAACAGATAGAAAGCCTCGGTTTTTATGAGGCAAAATCGATAGCTTGTAGCTACACTCTCCCAGAGCACCCAAGGTTAGTAGCTTGATGCAATCTTATTTTCCCATTGTATATGCAACACTTATGCTGTTAAATTCTAGAATATCGTGCTATAAACTATTGATTCATCGGCTGATTTCATGATATAGAAGTGAAGATAAGTTAAATTTTGTAAGTTACTTTCACGTTATCCTGCTCATCTCAAAAGTATAATCACTTTAAAGATGTAAATGTTGTTTGCTACTTTCATTCTTGCATACTGCCTGATTTACTTTTTTCATCTAATCCGTCCAATCTCAAAAGTGAAGCAAACATTAAATAACTGTTTTACGTTATTGTGAATTTTGCTTAATCATTCTACTCTCCTCATATCTTTAAGTATTATTTTAACATATAACCAAGTCTAAATACAAAATTGAGTCAAACATCATTCTACTCTTCTCATATCTTTAAGATCTTTGATGGTTCATTCTACTTTGATTCCCCTTCTCACAGTTTTCCGGAATTCCCACCTTTTCTTTCCCATGATTCCATATCTAACTTTCTTTGGGAAAAAGAGTGGTGACGTTCAACTACTTTTTATCCCCTTTTCAAGTTCAATGTGTTATAAAGAAAAATTGTGGGGTAGATAAAGTTAGTCACAATTGAATTTGTGGCGACCATTTTCTTGATCCTATATAAATATGTGTTATTCTGTAAAAGTGATGATTTTGAGTGTTAAGTTACCAAGACGCCCTTTGAGGCAGAAGAATCTTTTAGGATGTCATATGAACATTCAAATATTTATTTCTTTCTTTTTTCCTTTAGGATAAGAAGTAAAACAATTGCCACAAAATATGATTTTGCTGGAAACAGCTTTCACGTTTTTTGCTGCTGGTTTTTACCTTATTTATTTATTTATTATTTTTTTTTTTTTTTGCGTTCTGGGTTAGGGAACATGACCAAAACCTTGTTATATGGTTTATTCTAAAATGCTCTTACCAATTGGAAGATCCTTTGTTGATTTGAAAGTTTATATTTGAGCAACTGTTACCATGAATCCAACTTTTGACATAAATTAATTTCTATATCCACCTTATGTTTTATTTTCTTTTACTTCCATGCTTGTGAAGAATTCATTAGCAGTGACATCTAACAGTGGTTGTAGTTTAGAGAAAATTGAATTATAATAATGAGACTTTTCAAAGCAAGCAGAAGGAGAGTGAAGGAAGGGGTAAGGTACATAATGATCAGATATTTTTTTCTTGTCCCCTCTTTGTGTTGCTGTCCTGTTTTTCCAAATTTCAAGGAACTAAAAGCTGTCTGCTATCTTTCTGTAGGATCAATAGAATGACATAGGATTATACCAACGCGGTAGGCTGTGTTAGAGCCTCTTTGTTTAGTGTAAAGAAAATTTCATGTCTTTCTCCCAGTTGAATCTTCCATTACTTTAGATACCGTTTTGAAAAGAAAATGATTGCAGCAGTCATCTGGGCACACTTGTTTCTACGGGAAAAGTCACCAAGTCTAAAACAACATAAAAATATGAAGTATTTGCATATACGTAAAGAAGTTTGCTATACAAGGAAAATAGCATGTTTATGAGTGCTATGATTGTACTCTACAATTGGTATTAATAATTATCAAATAATTGATAAAATTGAGAAAAAGCCTTTTTTTTATCTTACTATTCATCAAAATCCAGAAAACAATAAAAAAATTCGAAAAAAGACTTTTTTGATTGGATGGGAATGAATGAAAAAATATTAAATCGTCCCATCCCATCTTTTAGGTTCCATTTGGGCAATATGTATCCGATTGGGTATGGCTTGTAGTAAACCTCTGTAAGATAAGGAGGATCATAGGGTAGATAACCTTTTCACCATTCTAAACTGTTGCTATCTTACATTTTAACGGGTAAGTGAACAGTTAAGAAGATTGACGATGATGAATAAAACTAAAAAAAAAGCAGTTTGCTCTGCAATTTTAGACATTATTGTGCAGAATTAGTGAGACTAATTTATGGCAGCAGGATACTCCCCTGTTGCAGATTTATAGATGCTACTCATAGTATCTGTTGCCCTCCCAAACGATTGTGTGTTTTAGCATCTTATCATATTTGACTTTCTTTGTTAAGTATCCCATTTAAAGTCAGCTATGGCAAAAGTTAGTCAACTGTATCTTCTTTGCTCTTGGTTTTAAAGGAAAATTTACTTTGTGTCTCACACAATATACACAAGTTGTGTGAGGATTTGTCTATGTTTGACAAGTGGAATCTGTGGACCCAAAATCTTGAATTTTTAGCTCACAAACTCCACTTTTCAAACAAAGACAAAGACAAAGACAAAGACAAAGACAACAACGTTCACACAATTTTTATCAATTGTGTTGGGCATAAAATAAAGTTTCTCATGTTAAAGTGGTGCAAGTTTGAGATTATTTTTGCTCACAAAATAGTTAATTGAGATTTGCATTAGAGATGTCTTTTCTTCTCCCTCTCTTTTTCTTACCCGTCTTCTATCTCTTAGGGTAATCCTAGTGAGGTGACTTCCATCCTACTTTAAGGAGCTAATTGTATACCTGAACAAACACGGTGAAAATGTTCACATGTTGTGTTTCTCCCAGCTAGTATGCTTTTCTTTACTCCTCGCGTACATATATCTTTGTTTTGGGAGAACCAATTTTTTTTTATATGTTCTAGGAAGGGGAGCCTTGGAGCAACGGCAAAGTTGTCTCCATATGACCTATATGTCACGGGTTCGAGCAATGGAAGCAGCTACTAATGCTTGCATTAGGGTAGGTTGTATATATCACACCCCTAGGGATGAGGCCCTTCCCCAGACCCTGCGGGATGCTTTGTGCATTGGGTTGCCCTTTTTTTATGTTCTAAGATTCACTGCCTTGTCATCATAATCAGTAAGTTCAATATCAACTAAAGTAATTGATTTAAAGAGTTAATTATAGAGTTGTCCTTTGAAGAGCCCATGATGTATTGCTAAGCATTACGTTGATGTCCCTATTATAAGACCTTATATTCTAATCGTATATGGATAAATTTGCCAGTCAATTTTATCTTTCCTCTATTTTGTGTAAAAAACTTTCTTTTTCCTCAATCTTGAATTTAATCCTACCATGCCCCATCTTCTCCAAACAGTTATACTCGTTCGCAATAGAAAGAGAAACAAAATAAGATAAGAAACAAGAGTGAAATGATTAAGGCAAGAAGAGAGGGGAGTGACTAGGGACTAGGGGTGTTTGTCGGTCGGTACGGTACGGTATTTAGACATTTCGGTTTGGTATTTTCGGTATTCGGTTTTTTAAAATCCTATACCAATACCGTACCTAATTAAATTTGGTATGGTTCGGTTTTTCTCCTTTCGGTTTATTCGGATCGGTAACTTCGGTTTATTCGGTTTGAATACTAACTAGTGCATAGATCCATACACTCTAATATTCTTAATTAAAGTACTCAAAAATACAAAACTGAAAATGTTTGAATACTTCGGTTTCATGTTTTTTCCCTTTTAGTGAAGTTGGTGAGGTACAACCTCGTGAACTAGCAGCATCCAGCAGTTGAATTAAAGGAATGAATACTTATGGTAGCATCATTATATTTTGTCAGTTATTTGTAATTTTGTATTGATATGAACCAGTGAGTAGATCTCCAAATTTTCGCAAAATTTTGGAAAAGCTCATTTAACATTTGCTTTCTTCATGTTTATGGTTAGTGTATTTTGATGCTGCTGTGCTGCAAGTCATTCCCAAACTGCGAGCTTATTTTTGAATGTCTTTTCTTTTCGCATAGGGTGCTATCAAGTTCTGTTTTTTTATTAATTGAGGATGCAATCTTAGTACCTGCAAAAAATCTTATGAACCCATATTTTTCTTCCAACAAATTTTCTTGTTTCTTATGGGCTGAACAGTGGACCTGGAAACATTGTGGATTTAACCATAGTGCTTGTATTGATTTAGTCCAAACTGAAGATGTTTGCTTAAATTGTATGGAATAGTTATATTTTTTATATTTTGAATGGAGCTCGGACTGAGGATTCATATAGCTGAACCCAACTTGCTTGGGGTTGAAATGTGGTGGTTGCTGGGATAAATTATCTGAAAAGTTATGTTTCTTCCTATGTGTATCGCCTTTATGAAGTTTATTTATTATGCAGAAATTCTTATGGTCGGCAACGAGCAGTTGAAGATGCCGATGACTTCTGGGATGTACATGAATGGAGAGGGATCAAGTAGTTGGTTAAAAGCCTTCTCAATTGAGCAGAAAATTTGAGGACCTAACTGTAGTTTTGAGGTGGCCTCGAGGCCACATACTCTTTTTTTATTTTTATCTTTTTTATTTTATTTTATTTTATTTCATGCAATTTATAAAGTAACCGTGTTTCGGTTTGTAAATTGCCGGTGCAAATATGTAGATTGCCAAAAATTTGCTCTGTTGCAGCAACTTCCCTAATTGAATGGTAGTCTTATGTGAGTCTAATGGTTCTTGATTATTGTCTGGTGTTGAAGATTCCTCACTCCTTTGTCCTCTTTGGTAACCATCACCCTTACTGTGAGATACCAAAAAGAATGTTACGAGATTTCTTCTCATCTGTCCGAGTTTGAGTGTATAAAGTTATCCAGTACATGCACCGGTAGAAGGTAGCACATATCTAGTAGAATAATCTGAGTTTCAGTAAGTTGGTCCGGGCTCGGATACCTGGCCTGTTATATTGTTACATCTCCTTGTAATTTGAAGCCGGGGATAAAGTCTTAGTGCTCTCTTTTCCATATAATCCATTAGATTTTCCAAACGGTAGCTGTTTGAGAAATGCTTGTGTTGCTGAATTCTATTAGCAGTGTTAATTAGAGATGTAATACAATAAAAGAGAAATATATTCCATTGACCATAACTGGCTCACTTCAACTAGCTTCTCATGAAATAGGCAGATTTATTCAGTTTTCCATTGTCTTATTTCTTAGTGGTTTAAAATAGAACACGTAATCAAGCAGAAGTAAAGACTTATTAATTAAGTTATAGGATTTTGGATAGAGTAGTCTATTATTAATGATAATACATGTTTCAACAACAACAACCCAGTGTGATCCCACACGTGGGGTCTGAAAAAACATCGCCCACTGTGGGGCTCGAACCCACGACGAGAAGAACCAAAATGATAATACATATTTCAAGAACCAAAATAATCCCCATAAGTTTAGGTTGTGAGATATTAAATTTAAATCTAAATTCACCAAAAAAGTAATACAACTCAAGTGGTGGTGCGAATAACAAATAATCAATGAAAAAATCGAGACCAGACACAATGATGTTGCCATAGAAATGTTGCTTTGTGAAATTGTTGGCAGGGTTTAAAGGTTGATTTGCACAAATACGATCATTCGATGCCGCCATTTAAAGTTTGACCCGTCAAGAAAAGACTTGGAAAAATAACCTCCGTCTAGAATTTTGAAGCATGATGGTTATAATTTTGGGAAGCACTCTGGACGATCGCCAGAATATTTTTTATATGGCAATCATATGTTGAACACCAAGATTTGCTACAAAACTTGACAAATCGGAAGGATTTTTCAGCGTTGAGATTTAAAATCTTGACGATTATCATAACTGTCTGTTAAGAAAAATTCTGGCTATTGCTAGGAGCATTTCTCAAAATTCTGACCAGCATGCTAAAAAGTTCTGGTCGGAGGCTATTTTCCCATGAATTTTCTTATTGTGATCAAAATTTAAATGCTGGTCCTCAAAAGGTGGGTGAAGTACACAAACAGTCCTCAAATTGCTGGACACTTTCAAAGTAGCCCATGCCTAGGGGCAAATATGGTCAAAAGTTAAAGACCACCCTAAAAGTGTCCAGTAATTTTTTCTAAAAAGGTCCATCTAGGTCAAAATAGCATGGGCTAGCCCGTTTTCAGACTGGTAATTGAAAACTAACCACCTTTTGCAAAGTCATTGAAAAATAACCACTATTTTGTTGCAACACGGAAAGTTCCAGCATAGTATACTGGAGAATTTTGCTGGAATATTTTTCGAATTTTGAACAGTATTTTCGTTCATATTTATTTTTACATAAAAAATAGCTAAATTTCGATTATTTTTGAAATTATGGTAATTTTTCAATTACCACTTATAAATGTGGCTATTTTTGAATTTCACCCTCCGTCTAGACCACCCGGACCAGATGAAATTCCGGTTGAGCTTTGGAGGTGTGTGGGTAGAGCAGGTTTGGAATGGCTTACTAAGTTGCTTAATGTTATATCCAAGACTAATAGGATGCCCGAAGAGTGGAGGTGGAGTACAATGGTCCCGTTGTATAAGAACAAAGGCGATATCCAGATCTGTAACAACTATAGGGGTATTAAATTACTAAGTCATACCATGAAAGTTTGGGAGAGAGTGGTAGAAATGAGAGTGCGAAGGACGGTGTCTATTTCAGACAACCAGTTCGGGTTCATGCCG